GCTCAGATTGGAATGCTCAATCCCTTTTACACCGTACTCCAATGGTTTAATCCGCAGTTCCATTTTTGCTTTAATCCTGTGTTGTTTTCCTTTCATTCGTCATATTTCACACTACAGTACAGACGCCACTTACCATCACTGTGCTTTAATCTACACCAGATCCATAACATTACGTACGGTTAACATTATTTGTGGTTCTGAATATTGTATATGGTTATGCTCTGCATAATACTATGTAAACTCTATGTACAATCCTACACGCTATTTTACAGTCCTGTTTCCATCATATTACAGAGAACGTTTATGCATTAAATTTTGCTTGCAAATATTACATATTTTCAATGAATTTTGATGAAGTGCTACATATATTTCAGTAAATCCTGACGAAGTACTGTTGTACAGACTTCATATTTTTTACATATTAAGTATGTACAAAGCATAAAGCAAGGAATCACTGGTCAGTACTTCATATTAGCATATTAAATAATGGTTATTATTTTACCGTTAAACAATGTTCTACATTTATTTTTAAATTGTTCCCAGGCCAAAAATTTAACACACCACTCAAGCAGCCTCCAGTACGAGACTAAACCTTGTACTTACCTGAAGCAGATGAAATTTACATTCTGTTGACTGAGAAAACACAAAAGTTAGTACACACAGTTCAAGAATACTTTATGCAGCTGATAAAATGTTCATAATCACTTTGAATTTAGCTTAATTAGCAAATTAAACCATGGAATGCAGATATCAATGAATCTCACACTAACGCAATGTGTTTCAAGCTATAAGCCATGACTTAAAAATGGGCTAATGCATTTACATTACAGATCATCAACAAACAGTAGCATAGCTGGCTAAAGTGTATGTAAACAAACTATATAGGTTCTATTACCAGTTACAAAATAGCTGTTAGATTTAATCTCCTACTAAGGCAAAGCCATTCTTTAGCACAACTTACCTTGCACAGGATTGCAGCAGAATGGCTACAGGACTTCCCTTGTCCTGCGATACAGGAGCACCCGAATATCTTGATTATGTCGGTTGTTGTGGCAAAAACCCAGGCAGAGTGAACACTTGTCTTGCTTTGACTAGGTAGCACATCAGCTTTCAAAAATACAAGGTCATGTCGTCCAACTTTCCCACTGTGGAGATACTGATGAGCCTCTGTGCTTTTGTAGTTGTGCATTGTACATCCATCCAGTCCAATGTACAACACAAAACAGTTGAAATAGCGCAATAGTTGAAATAGCGCAATTCACAAATCGAACGGAAAACCAAGGCATTAGATGAACGCACGCAAAGTCGATCGCTAAATGTCGAATTCAATAAAAGTAACGCTGTCAAAAGAGAGAACATTCTCAGATTGGAATGCTAAATGCCAAAATTCACATATACAATATCGTGGGACGGAACGCTAAATGGAGTGCAATTACTTATCAGTACTTCATATTAACGTACTAAATAATAGTTACTTATTTTGCCATGAAACGATGTTCTACATTTATTTTTAAATTATTCCCGGGCCAATAAAATTGACCACACCACACACCCCCCCTTCTGGGGACAATACCACTTTTTACTATTTTTTTTTCTGTATCTGTTCCTTAATTGTTCATGAACAGTTTTACATACTCAGAGTGGAATGCTAAATGCTCAATTCTGTGTATGCAAAATCGTGGAATGACTGACCGTCCTTAAAATGGAATGCTAAATGCCCATCTCCTTATAGC